TTGGATGATAATAAGCAGAAACTGAGCCATACTAATACCAGTTTGGGACAGTTTCCCCTTATTCACACAAAATGAGATGGGTGCCTTCCTGAAAACCCAGTAATTTTAGTTCCTGGCAGCACGCACCACACCAATGTAGCAGCAATGGAAAGAAAGCTGAATGATCTATGCAATGTTTTTCTGAGTAAGGATCCTCTGAGCTAGTGAGATGAGAAGAGTGCGTGACCTGCTCTTTGTCTGGCTATTGCCATGTCTACCAACCACTGTCCAACCAAAGTGTGCATGTGTTTTCTGAATCCCCAATGCTCACAAATGTCCCTGCAACTAATGGTGCAAATAACCTTTCTCAAGTTGAATCTCCCAAAGTTGAGTTACGCTGCTTTTCATTGTGGTACTTAAAGCGTTGTCATCCACTAGCTGTGATCCAGTTGACACATCTCTCTTTTTTCAAATTATTTTTCTAACTTTGTAAAAGTCTTCTAAAATCTGGCAGTGAAAAAAAAAAATCTCCTCCTGCTGCAGGTCACCCTGTTTTTTCAAATGCCTTTAATTGTAGTGGTTTTGCTCTGGTTGATTGAGCCTTGTGGCACCTGCAACCTCTACAGATGCAGTTTATATAGGCTGATAAGGTACAGTGGTTTTTCCTTACACTAAAGGATAGTCACCCCTTTTCATTGCTTTTCTCAAGGTAGAAGGAGCAAGTGGGTCATCAGTTGTCCACGGACTTTTTTCTTCCATTTTGGATAATACTCCTTTTTTTTAACCTAAAATTACTTGTGCTCCCCTTTTTTCATTAATACATGTTAGCAAAGGGAAAAACATTACAATTAATTACTATAGAACGATGAAAGTTAAAGTTTCTTAGCTACCCAAAATTTCCCAATTTAAAAAAAAAATGTATGTAACAAAATTCAGACAAGCCGGACCAAAGCATAGATATAATCCTAAATCCCCGACCCCGCCAAATGAAGTGGTCCTGCCAAACACATTTCTCCACTGTGCACAAGTCTACCTTTTATTAATTTTACACCAGCACCATTCTTTCCTCCCCCACTGCTCACAGTGAAGACATCCTTGCTTGCTTAGTGTGTGCTGCTACACACACTAACATATACTCCCTCTACCTAACCATCCCACCTGCAATGCTGCTGTACAAATAAAAGCAAAAAGTATGTTGGTGCAATTTCTGTGTGCATTCAGTTTTCTGGGCTTTTGTCTTCTGAATAAAAGGGTTTAGAATGATGTTCTCTCTGTTTTGCCTTAATAGTTTTCCTTCATTATCCTTTTTTTTTTCTTTTTTTTTTTAAACTACTTCCTGTGATAGAAAGAATATTATTATCTGGTTCTGCCTCTGAAACTATACTATTTCTTGAATTAAATATCTATATACCTTGAGTTTATGGTGTATATTCACCCTCAGCAATCACCAACCAACCTGACTAATCATAATAAAAGAATACTTTTTTAACCAAATTACGAATTTAGTTCCTCAGACAGCGTGAACTATTTTCATTTATCTAAATGATATATAGCAAATATAAACACATTCCATAAAGTTACTAAGTAGCTAGTTTTCCACCAAGGACTGATATAGCCACCCATAAAGATATTTACCCTGATGATGAACAATCAATATTATAACTATTTCATAAATACATTACAACGCAAATCCCCGCTAGGTTAAACATTTGTCATAAATTGTAAGAGATCAAAATAAACACTGTAATATATTATATAATAATATACTACTGCAGTATTGTATTTTTTTGTCAGAAACTATGTGCAGTTGTGTTGTTTTAATGGTTAATACATTGTCAATACATTTGCATATTTTAATTTATTGTAGATCTTTTCTAGACACATTCTTGACAGACATTACATTGTAGTCAGATTTAGGTCAGATTTAGGTTTCCATGCTCATATGTTACATATTTACTAATAAGGATAGGAAGACATAATTGCTGTTGCCGTTTTTAAACTACATAAATAATCAAAATGTACCCTTTTAGTGAGAGAGACATTATTTATGAGAGATACATTCTACATTACTTATCAATAGTTTATTCTAAAATTAACATGAACTCTCTTCTGGATTGTAAACTCTTTTTTCCTCCACTGATTACTTCTTATAATATAGTACTATATTCCCAATTGAATACATCTGTGCCTCATACATAAATTACATTATTAATAGCACCTGTCAGCTAAGAAGTGTGAAAATGATTTATCTTCCTTGCACTTTTTCTCCATTATCATCTAATATCCGTTGGAAGCAGGATCTTTTCTGATACATTTAGGCAATTAGTTACTCTTACTGATTATTAGCAGACTGTCAGATAGGCCTGGAAGTTCACTACTGATGGATTGTTGAGCTCTGCCCGAGGTAACTTTGGTACTGAATATATTTTCTCTTTTATTGCAGTTGATTTCATAGGTGGTTTTGACTCTTATGGATATCAAGGACCTCAGAAGACATCCCACTTACAGCTACAGCCCATGTATATGTAAGTATTGAACTAGTAAACATGTAACTAGTAAACAGGTA